GGGGGGGGGGGGGGGACCAAACAAACAGAGGAGCTTGTGAGACAACAATGAGGGTTCGTACCAGGACTTGGGCTCTCCAAAGTGCAAGTAGTTGATGCTGTATAGGTCCATGTCCTCCGTGTGCCAGGCAAAGGCAGCCTTCCACATGCCAAAGTAAAGATAAGGCGTGTTGACTCCTTTAATCTTTACGCCGCTCTCGTGCTCCACCGTGTCCAAGATGGTGTCCAGGCGGCCGATGTTCCACTCGCTCACGTCCTGCGAAGCGACAAATCACTCAGCAAGACCGCCACCCGGTCCAGTCCGTGGCCCAGACCCGCCAGCTACTCAACCGGGTCGTAGAGACTCCCGCTGACATCGGCTCCGTAAAGTGGCGGATTGAACGTTAGATTCTTCCAAAACTTACGCTCCAGCTCGTCAAAGTCCACATACTGCGGATGGCAGAACCTGAGGGGGGAGAAACGTCCACCATCAGCTACATATAATGCTGCTGACTATAACTGCTGTTGTTTCCAATCAATTCTGTATAAAAACGCATTTAGTATCGAATTGGAATACTTGTATACACGTCTGTATGTGAATAGCATGTGATAAAGACTTATTCTACTCTAGCTTGTTATATGCAAAGCTTACTTGTCCAAGTTGGAGGTCTTGCGGAACTCTTGCACGGTCATGGGCTTCTTCTGGATGTTGTACTGTGTGAAGAGTCCCGATTGGCCCGTCACCACCTGCTGGATGGGAGCAGGAATGACCAGCTCGTCCATGTCGTCATACGTCTTCCGGGGCCTCCAGCCTTTGGGCGCGATCACCTGCACCGGGAAACGTGTCAGCGGGACGTTCGACCGGGGAGGAGTCAAAGCCGCTCTACGTACCTTGGCCATCCCGGCTCGGTGCGCTCCCTGAGACTCCATGTAGGCCACGTAGCGGCGGAAGTCTCGGAAGTCCTCCATAGATGGCGTGAACGTCATGATCCTGCAAGGGGCCGGACCCTGGGCGGATGAGTCCCCGCTCATCGTGGGATGTCCTCTTTCTGCTGGCAGCTGGAAAATATAGCATTTGCAAGTTTTGCCAAAAACAAGTCTGTCGAATAGCTGTTTTTTTTTCCCCCTTTAGACTTGCGAGCAAGTCAAATACAGCCACAAAATTGGACACCAACAGTGTCTCATTTGCAGGAAATTAAGACAGGTGTAACTCAACACATTATGATGATGCTACGTAAGAAAAAAAACAAACAGCAATGGCATTTATTAAGTGAGAGACTGATAAAACTAGTTCAGTGTTTTGAATGTAACCTCAAAACGTCGTATGTCGGTACCGTCAAAATTGGTCTGTCATTTTTTCTACCTAACCCAATCGAGCCAAATCCTCTGCTTTTTTTTTAAACAAAAATGGTGAGTGCTACAGACAGAAGCGAAAGAACACTCAAGTCTAAAAGTTCCGCCGATGAAGTAAAAAAAACAAACACGAACTTGGTGTCGCTAAAACGCCACACTACCAAAACGTCCAATCGCTAACGAGCCCGCCTCCTTGAGTCGGCCAATTAAACTCAAGCCCAACTCCGATTGGCTGACGGGTGTGTCTGTCAACGACTGTGGCCCAGTTAGAGCAAAGCTCCTCGGAAAAATATTTGGCTAGCTAAACATGCTAACGGTTAAGGACAGCCTGATTTGCAATCTAAAGACAAAATCAACTCGGAAGTAAAAAGAGTCCGAGACGTACGTGAAGCAATACAAAGTGTGCAATAAAAACTCGTCCGCGTGTGAGAAGCGGAACGCTTAAAAGGGGAAGAATCGCGATGTGAGCGCATTGGAAAGTGACAGCTGCCCTCGCTTAGCAAGTTAGCCCAACTAGCAAACAGCTTGTTGCTTGCAGTCTCTCTACGCTGCAAAACTTGCTTTTGCTCACACTTTCCCGTGCGCAAACCTCATGCAAAAGCGTCCAAAATGACTTACGTGAGAAGCAACGGGGACGTGACGCTCGGCCTAACAGGCCGCGAGTTAACGGAGTAGAAAGATAGACGCGAAGTCCTGGTAGAAAAGACGGTCCTCCATTACGGCGGTGACGCATGCCCAGTGTGGGTTTGTTTACATGACAAAAGGGGAGGGGCTGTTGAGTGTGACATCCAATCAGAAGGCTCCTTTTTTAATACAGATAATGTGATTGTTTTATGTGCACCAAACTAATTAAGGCAAAACAATTATCTGGGTAAATCTATGTGTACATATATACAATTAACTATTGTAGGTCAGTGTACTGTCTTTCATTTTTTTGTCTTTCATTGTTAGTGTATTGTCCCCTTCCCCAATTTGGATTCCATTCAACTTTTTCATCACACATTGAGACAACTAGTTTCAGGCTATGACTACGTTCGATCAGAGTAATATGTTACAATAGCTACACAGCAATGTATGTCGTGTCCTATGCAATCTCCAGTGCATTTGGGCACTGACAACATACTGTCAATTAATAGATAAATAAATAGACGTACATGCCAGTGAAATGGAATGAAGAGTCTGAACAGGATTTTCATGGCCTTTCATTTGTATAATTTTTTATTTAAAAATAGAGAGATCACATATGCGAAACAACATAAAATATATAGAGATTTATTGAACTTAATGTATCCTGTCTCATCCATCGATGACTGAGGCGCTGTCATTGACCTCCCGCCCCGACGAAAAGTCACTAAGACGCGCAAATTATATTTCCCAACTTTGAGGTGACACGTCATTTAGTATCCTCTGTTTTATTATTATAGCTTTCTAAAATCCTGAAATCTCAGGACTTGTTTCTTGTCCTCTAGGCCATGTCTCACTTACGAATAACAGGAAGTGCAATCAAACTTGCTGTGGCTCAACATCCCGTTGAGCATTTCCCAGCCAAAACGTTTGTGTTTGATCCATTCGTAGGTGGTGCTCTATCATCAGAGTGTGATGACACCCCCCACCAAAAAAACAATAAAAGTAACATTAGAGTATCATCATGTCTATGATAGAAAAAACAAAGTAGCAGCAGGTGAGTTTCATCATAATAATAGTCATGATCATAATATACGCATGTTGAAAAAGACATGTCCTGTGCAGTGCTTATAGAAAGTGAAAAGATTAAGACGTGATCAAAAGTTATTTGTACAAGCTCAACGAAGGGGCGACGAGTGTACGAGGGCCCGGAAGGGTTCGCCAGGATTTGGGAGTCAGTCCCTCCTGCCCAGAATCGCGGGCAGCGGCTTGTGGGCGCAGCGTAGTCGGCATGGCTGGCAGAAGAGTGCTCGTTATGTTGCATAGTGGTCAAAGCTTCCGAGATACTCCAGAGCGGCCCGGTAGCACAGCTGATACTGGTCCTGAAGGCATAAAAGTTGTTTATTGCTGCTCCCAGATGAAGTTGGGAGTCAAACTAAATGTTAATAAAAGGTAAGTAAACGTTGTGTATTTAAAACCACCACACGACTTTGCCTTCCATTGGCTCGACGCTAACACACAATGTAAAATGTCATAGACGAGCTAACAAATAGCATCTACGTTAAAACGCATGAACTTTATCAACAAACTGTATGTGCACAGACAATACGAGTACACAATGGTTACCTCTGTCTGCACCATGGCGGGCCGCTGAGTCCTCAGGGTCTTGACCGTGTGGAAGACGTCGACGGCGCCCTCATACCTCATCCTCTCCAGGACGATGCTGAGCGTGATGAACACGCCGCTGCGTCCCACACCGGCACTGGTGGGCGGGCACACGGCATTAGTGCAAGTAACAGATGGCCTAACTCACCCAACTTTGTGACAGACTGACTAACTGACTGACCGACAGACTAAATTACTAACAAAATAACTCACAGACTAGGTGACTAACCGAGTAGCTGAGAGCGACCAAGTAAGCGTCTTTTAATGCTTCGAAGGGCGTCAGTGGAGCGCCGTCGGGCAACACCCACCTGCAGTGCACAGCGATGGGTCCGTCTTGGCCAAACTGCTCCTTAGTTTTGTGGACTTGTCCGATGAAGTCGATGAAGCCTTCTCCGTTTTTAGGAACTCCCTGCTCGGGCCAGTCGCTAAACTGAAACTGCCTGATGGTCCTCGACTGGCCGTCCTGATGAACAAACGAGGGCCGATACCGACTTATGGTGCAGTTAGTGCAAAGACAGCAAATGATTGGTCGTCACTTACCCTGGCGTCAGTCACTTTGAACTCCCTTAGGATGTATTGCGGCATGTTGTACTCGGCCATGGGATCCACTACAAAGTACTGGTAGCGTGCTGAACGCTCAGCGGGCCAGTACTGATGACACTTTTCCTGCAGGGTGGCCACAGGTTGTTATTAGATTCTGACTGTATGAAAACACTGAGCAAAAATGTTGCGGTATCAGGGTGTTAAAATTACAGCTCTGAAACAGCCTTTTTTGAAATATTTGAGGAAATAAAAGCAGCATTTTACCCATTAAACACAATCTATTTCAGTTTTAAACCAAATATCAAACATTTGGACCAGATGAAAAGTTTACCATGTTAACATTCTTCTTTTGTTTTAATTCTCCCGAGTAAGTCACAGTGGCCCATCAGTGGTGAGCTATTTTTAGAATATGGGCTACTCATGCTGCGCTTTGGGCTAACTAGTACCCGCTGGCACAATTAGGATGATGCACAGCAATCACCAGATCAGGCTTGCTCCCTCCCTCCTCCATACGTAACTGCTTACCCCTCCCCCTCTGCGCTTGCAAAGAAGAAGGGGAAAAAAGTTAATTGGAGGCAACTCACTTCTAAATTGGGGCTTATTTCCTCAATTGAATTGAGTAAATAAGAGTAAAATGATTGGCTGGTACAGAATTGAGTCAATTCTGTACCAGCCAAAGTTGGGTCTTATTTACTCAATTCTGTAAGCAGCCAATCCTTTTATGCCCTGCTTAGCAATCCGCTACCCCCCAAAAAAAAAACAAAACAAAAAAAAACCCAACAAAACACCCTAGAACATTTCACTGTTAATCTCCATTCATCTTTTACCCGTCCCATCTCGCGCAGTTTGGTGAGCATGACGACGATGGTGGAGTTGTGCTCCCACAGCATCCTCCAGAAGTCCTCGGTGGTCTCGGCCAAGGGGCCCTGGGTGGCGATGTAGGCTCTCTGCAGTCTGGAGAAGCCAACGCAAAGCCAGCCAGTTACAGCAGAGTGCCACCGGGCGGCACTGTACAAACACACGACGAGCACGACGGGCCTGTATCCGTCGATGAAGCTGGCGTTGATGTAGTCGGAGCCCTCCACGCCTCTGATGGGCTGCAGACAGACGCGGCTGGACTCGAAAGGCATGATGTTCACCAGGCGGTTCTTGAATTTGTTGCACGGCAGGTTGGCGCTGATGAAACGTGAGGTATGTGCTTTGGAGTTGGCCAACTTCTGCAAACAAGCACACACACACACACACACACACACACACACACACACACACACTTAGCGTGAATTAACATTTTACCCAATACCTATATGAATAATAATAAATTAAAGATCATATTTCACGCTGGGATGAGCTGATTCATGAGCAACATCTCCCCAAAACCTGCATCGCAGTGCAATCCAAATATAAGGCAATACTGACCTTAAACTCCAGCTCCATGGCGGTGACGGTCTCCCCAGGAGGCACGTGGCTGAGCTTGTGTATGTGCGCATAGAGGTTCCGAGCGGCCACCTCGGTGTTTCCGCACACGGCGTCCTCCAGCAGGGCCTCGTGAATGAAGACGTATTGGTCCTCGGTCTGGACCATGTAGTTCCTCTGGGCTCTCATGCAGGTGACGTGTCCATACACGTCCACCGAATGCTCGTGCTTCATGCGCTCCAGCATGGCATCAATCACCATGAAGCAACCCGTGCGCCCGACCCCCGCGCTGGAAAGGTGTCAACGCACGCTATCATGCTATGCTAGTATGCTATGTAGCGTACCAAAATATGATGGGGCACTCATGTTGGGCTATGATGCCCCGGTTAGATGTAATCTTTCTCCCATTGCGTAAAAGATCGCTTGAGCAACAGTCGTCACGCAGTGCACATCAAAGTTCTCGACTTTCTAAAATCCTTGTGTGTTTTACATACTTGGCTAATGAAGACGACGCTGATACGCTATAATGTTCCAATATGCATTTAGTCGCTTTGTGATGTGAGCAAAAGTACGTCATTGTGCTTTCTTGCATGTTTACCTGCAGTGGACCACCATGGGTCCGGCGTCCGGGGGGTTGCAGGCTTTAACCCTGCGCAGGAAGGCCAGAGTGGGGGTGGAATACTCAGGGACTCCGTGATCGGGCCAGGCCATGAACTGGAACTGGCGCACTTCCCTCCTCTCGCTGGAACCATTCTAATGCAAACATGACCGTCAATTGTCATGTCAATATGATACATACATCAAAGGTGATGTCCATTGCGCAATATTAGAGGTACAACACATATATGAAGCGTGTGATGTAAATATGCAACATTAGAGATATGCAGACGGGAAATATGATGTCACTATTGTGGATTAGAGCTACATACCTGAAACATGATTTACATATGGTATACTACAGGTGTATGAGGACGTTAAATACAATGTAAATTAAGTACATTAGCTGTATATAACATTAAATATGATGTTAATATGATATATTAACCTTACCTTATAGAGTGCAAAGGTGCGTATGCTGTAGGTGGCCAACTCCACAGTGTCCAACATGGTCACCTGGATCATGCCGTAGGTTTCAGTACCACGACTGGGCCAGTACTGGTCGCACTTCACCTACACACACACACACACACACACACACACACACACATACACATGAACATCTTCCTCCTTCTCCTCCTCATCCTTGTCACAGTCGTACCCGCGACTTCTCCTCCAGGCGCGTCATCATGACAATAGTAGAGGTGCGCTGCTCCCACACCAGCCTCCAGAAGTCTCCAAGGGTTTCGGGCAGCGGTCCCTGCGTGGCGATGTAGGCGTTCTGCTTCCTGTAGCCATCCACGTAGTTGGCGTTGATGTAGTCGCTGCCGGGGACTCCTGCGAAGAGGACGCGTTGGAATCAAACGGGCGGCGTCAGACCCGCAAAGCGTGAGGTGGGTTGGCGCTCACCGTCCACGGGTGTGAGGAGGACTCGGGTGTGGTCATAGGCGATGACGTTGGCGTAGCGATTCTTTGGCTTGTTGATTTCCATGTTGGAATGTTCCCATGTGAACTGCTGACCGGGGTCAATGGACTGAAGGGAGGCACGCCAACGACGCCTTGGTTAATCGCATCCGTCGGAAAATTCTTTGGATTCACGGCAATTACAATGCAATCGGCATGTGATACGGTTTGCTACTGCTGTAATATGCTTCATCCCAATTATAATGTGATAAGATTTGGTCAATAACTTTTGAGACATTTGTTCTTCAAGGCGTCCGTGTGTGTGTGTGTGTGTGTGTGTGTGTGTGTGTGTGTGTGTGTGTGTGTGCGTGTGTGTACGTGTGTACTACCTCGTACTCCTGCGAGAAACGCAGGCCGTCGTTGGCCTTGAGTCGATCAATGTGGTCAGCCAGGTCGCAAGCGGCAATGGGAGGATGTTGTCTCATTCCTAGTGGAGGGATAACACATGTGATGAGGAAAAGACTGGAGCTGACAGCGGAAACACACACACACACACACACACACACACACACACACACACACACACACACACAAAACACAAACAAATACACTGTCCCAAGTGACAGGTGGGCCGGCTCTGGGTGAAAAGAATGACAACTAACTTGGTGTGGTTGGACAACTGAGGGTGCCGCCACCTGTTGGAAGGAGGGGAAAACGTCACAAAAGGGGTCAGTGGACTGGTGAGGTGAGATTTGGAAATCGTGTTTTCAACACACAGCAGCTCGTCAGTCAAAATCAACAATGTGTGCTTGGTGTGTCCGCGTGTGTGCGCACCCTGTGTCTGATAGTTTAGCCTCCTCATCTCCACGGGGTCGGATGAGTGGGCCAGCAGCGAGTCCTTCACGCCCGCCATGTGCTCATCTTTGGACGATGGAGACGTTCGCTTCCTGGTGGAAAGAGACCAATAGCAGTGAATTCAGGAGCATCGAGTAAAGTAGCTTTATAAGCAGCTTTCCAAAAGTAGCTCTGATTTTGAATAAAGCAGTCGTGGCATTGTATAACGTATGAATAAAGTAGCAATGGAAGATTAGCAGCGACAAATTAGCATTCAAAAGAGTAGAATTGCATAATGTAGCATTGAAAAGGTGGCACTGATAAATTAGCATTTCCAAAAGTAACATTGAAAAGGTAGCACTAAATAAAGTAGCAACCGTATTCAGAAGAGTACGAGGAGGTTGTAGAACGAAGCGCTCGCTCACCTTTCTTGTTTGCTGCGTCCAGAGAGACAAGAGAATCAGTTCAAAGGTCAAGCACGTAACATTCAAGTGCGAAAACCTGACGCTAACTGTTCTGTAAAATACAACTGCGATGCAGCGGTGTGTCATGCGGTGCCGCTGACCTCTTGAAGAGAAGAATGGCGATGACGATGATGACGATGAGGATGACGGCCAGCACGGGTCCCATCACCCAAAGCATCTCGGGGTCCTCGGAGTGGCGCACCATCCCGCTGTGGAGCTTCACCAGGATGGCTTCCGAAAATGGACTGGCCACCAGCGTTCTCTGCTGCAAATGGGCCAGACATCAAATGCTAACATTTAGCATAGAACTGCACAACAAGGAAGACTATTTCACATTTTACGTTCTTGTCTTTGTTTGTCTTTTTATCTTGTTTTCTGCCCACACTTGTTGCTGTCCGTATTTTATTTTTTCGCGCAATTAAAAAGATGCTAACATTTCGCCAGCTAGCACAGCCACGTGGTTCCAAAATGGAGACTCTTACAGACTCGCGTTCCGTCAGCTCGGCCAGCACGAAGCATCGGTACTGCTGTTGCCCCGGCAACGCCTTGTTGCGGAAGCCGTGGTAGTCGTGGCCGTCACCCAGCGTGAAAACCTCGGGAAGCGAGTCCAGCCTGGCCGCCACGTACGGCTGCAGGAAGTTGCTCTCGGGTTGCCTCCTCTTCCTTCGGGCGTCATATTCACCTTGCAGGAGCTGCACGAAAGATGAAAAAAACTTTACTATGGTTGAGAGGCTCCGATGTCGACAAATGTTTGAGCAAGTTATGAGCCTTCATGAACCCTTTGGGCCGTACTTCACCGTTGTGGGCAAGTGAGCTAACATAAGGCATGTACAACAAACCACGTGCATTCTGTTGCTGTCTTGTGAAAAACATGTTGGACCATTTCATTCATTTTGAAAAATGTTTATGTTAATGTAAAAAAAAAAACATTTAAAAAAATGACAAAAATGGACATCTGCGTTTTTCACAAGACAGCGACGATTTGATATCTTCTATGGTATGTTGCTTAGTCTGATTCAGGATGTACCTAAATTGGTTTCCTTTTCTTCTACTTTTTTTTTTTTTCAAATGTCGACACATGGTTACGAGATAAAAGCTAAAGCTAGCTACCAACGTATGCGATTGTTTTGATTGTCATATGTTGGTAATTCACCTTCTGACACATCTAGGTCAAATATTGCGCCTTTATGCACCTTTAGGACCACAGCACTTCATCATGTTTTTGACACAGCAAGCGAAAACAAAACAGGGGTCACATTCACCGCTTGGAGATCCATATCGTCAGGGTTCTCCCACTTCAGGGACGCTGGGGTGAGCGGAACCACCACGATGTAGAACCACCTGTTGTGCACAGTCCATTCGTAACCTACATTCTAACGTGCATTTGTAACGTAGACACATAACCTACATAACGCACTGTAAACCAGGACAGCGCAGACCTGAACGGGGTTCCCGGTGGGACCCCGGGCAGCCGCAGCATGACTTTCACGCCCTCCTCCACATCC